CAGACAACAGCAACAACCATAGCAGCAGCAACAACAACAACAACAAGTTCGGGTTTCGCGCGTCACTCGCTGGAATTCCCGTAAATCGTCTGCTCAAAATGTTGTTGTTTTCTTGGGCTCTTCTTTTCCCCTGTCCTCCACTCCCCACTCCACAGTCCATTTTGAGGTGGTTTTTTGTTTGGATCGTTGGTAGGTTGTTTCTAAATATTGTTTACAGCTATACAGCAGAGGCCTTCGTGTTTGTTGTTGCTGCTGCTGCTGCTGCTGCTGCTGCGTTCATCTTCGATGAATAAATCCGGTTTTCGGACAACAAAAACACAGAGAGAAGAGACGGAGAGGGAGAAAAAAGGCCACAAATATTTTGTATACGTAGATTTTTGATTAACTTTCGCCTAAATAATTGCACAATAAAAATTGTTTGGAATTTCTGTTTTGTTTTTTGTCTTTTTTGTTTTTGCTCTGCACAAAGTTCGACTTTGGATTGGACATAGCTACACACACACACACACATATTGGTACACAGTCATGGCTGAAGCTATGTCTGTGTATCAATTAATGTTCTGCTGCTTCGAGCTATTTATAGATTTTGCGGTAAATTTGCTAATAATACTCAAATTTCAATGCTGCAGAACGCCACTTTGTCCGCTTTGGGTCCATTATTGTTGGTGGTCCCCCCCCCCCCCAGTTAGGAACAATAATAAAAATCATGCTATTTGATCCATGATTCATGGCAAAACTCTGCACGATGTTCGGCTGAAAAGTTATTTGTGTGCCCGCTTTGGGAATATTTGGGCAGGAGATTCGCTTGAGATGGCTGATCCGCGTTGATCGGGAGTTCAATCTGCTCCAAATAAGGCCTTGGAATGGATTGGCTAATGCTGATTGGTCAGGCAATCAGCATACAGCATCAGTATGTTCACAGATCCATAGATACAAATTCGCGAATATGAATTCCAATCGATCGAATGATAGCTGCAGCCAATCAAACTGATTTTGGACATGCGAGTCCAAAGTTAAAGTCTTCATTTGGGGCAAACAAGTCTTAATCATTAGACGGAACCATAAATATTTTCACTGCAGTCTCCCCATAGAAAAGCCATTCGAGAGGTCTTGGATGGAATCCCGTTTAATTAAAGTGTACGATGTGTGACTTTTATGGAGCACTTATTCCGGCACATTTGGGTTCGGTTCGCACTGCTTCGAATGCTATTAAAATCGCATTACCGTTGCCCCAATGCCAGGGTAGGACTCTCAAAGTAACTCTTCGCCCAGGAACAGGGAACACAGAACGCAGACGAGACGGAGACGGAGACGGAGACAGATGGAACAAGTCGGCTCGGGCAGGCTGCGGGGGGAACAGTTTGAGGTCTTCACTGTGGTCCTGGGCCTCAGCTCTTGGCTATGGGCTGGGCCACATCGATGTTCACGATGATGATGATGATGATGATGATGATGATGGCTAATAGCTTTGTTAGCTCTTGTACGTTTGTCTGTCTTGTGACTTTATTATGTCGTTCGATGCATTCATTCATTCCATTCCCAATTCCCCTTCCCATTCCCCTCTCCTCTTCACATATCAAATTCGTGGACTTTTGTGGCTGTTGTTGGCCTGGCCCATTGTCTTGGGCAATCGTCAACGTCATCGACTTAAGGCTGGGTCTGGGTCTGGGCCTTGTCTTCATCTGGAGCTGGAGCTGGAGCTGGAGCTGTGCCTGTGCTGAAACTGCAGCTGTAATCGTTTCCCCCATCCTTTCCGTTTGGCTTCGGTTTCGGTTCGGTCTGACTGCCATGTGAATTTGTACCAAATAGAGTTGAAATCTCGAAAGAGTCTTGCCCCGAAGGGCCTGCCATTTGACAAATGTGCGTTTTTAGCCATCTCATTGTTGTGGCAAACAGACTTCGATATGCAAATACATTGAAATTAGTTGCCAGGCAACCAGCCGACAGCCAACCGACAGCGACAAACCCTCCCAACCGATCCGAATCAGAGTCTAAGCTGGAGTCGGAGCTGGGAGTCGTGTCTTGTGGCTGTGGCTGTGGCTGAGGCTGAGGCTGAGGCTCTTGTGGAATTTGCATGATTCGCCAAAGTTTCTTCTTGGCTCTGCTTTGGCGCCATTTGAGGAGGGATTACGACTGATCTCTGGGGCCTTAATGGTTATGCTTTCGGTGCTGATGTGGCCGCTGATGTTGTAAGAGGAGCCCGCGCATTCCGCTGTTAATTGAATTAAGTCGGCGACATGGTCCACTCCGAGAGTAATTGGCAGGAGGTAGAAGATAGGTAGGCCTGGCAGCCAAGTTGCACTTCTAGCCGGGCTTTTAAGTGGAACCTGCGATGGAGAGTGTGATAAGCCACCGGCGGGTCTTGGCTCTCGGCTGGCAGGGCAACCTTCGGGGCAGTCTACCTACCTACCTACCTACCTCCCGGGCATTATTGGGCTCCCTGTCTAGACGCCGTCTGCGTGCCATGCGTAACGTAACCGTTTCGGGTGGAGACGAGACCCAGAGCCACCAACCAACCAACCAACCAACCAATTTGTTGCAGTTCCCTTTCAAGTGCAACGCAACCCCTGAGCCATGTTGGAGTTCGCTTAATTGCCCTGCCAGGGCCTGGCCTGGCCTTGCCTTGCCTAGCCGCACGGCCTGGGCCTGGGCCTGGCTGCTTGACGCCATGTCGGAACCATTAGAAACCCCAATCGCAGTCGGGACAAAGCCTATAATCACTGGCCGCAGAGCCACTCTCAGCACTCAGCCCTCAGCCCTCAGCCCTCAGCCACTTTAATTGGCACGACATCGTCAAAGTCGCAGTTGGAGTCGGCATGCAATGCCGCCGGGCGGTCAATTATACACATTACCGAACCCAACAGAACACAGCAGAGATCTAAGCTTGACTTTTCATTAAATGGCTGTCGCTAATTCTCACTATTGCCCCACTAGGAGTAGTTATTTATAGAACAACCTTAGGCCAGCAGCCGATTGACAGCAGCGCAGTTTGTTGCTCTTGACAATTTCCCAATCGACACTCGATCGCACATTAACCCCAAGCCACAAAACTTCGCACAGAGCCACTCAGCCACTCGACAGATCTGGCGATTTGGAAGCTGCGTACGGCACAGCCACACATGTGGCACGATCAGCATCAGCATCAGCATCAACATCAGCAACAGCAACATCGTTATGAGAGTGAACAATGAACCCACACGATAAGCCGAAGGCAAAGCAAAGCAAAGCAAAGCAAAGTTCTCGCTGAGGACCACAGCGATCCAATCCAATTGAAATCAACTTCAGCTTCAGTGTTCTTCAAGAACTGCTTTTTCGAATGGGGAATCACTTTGACATTGAAGTTAGATACGAGACGAGCCTTACATAATGCTCACGATGTGCCACAGAAGCAGAACAAGTACCAGAACAAGAGCCAGTTCATGCCAGATCTTCCTGTTGTCCGGTTGTCCGATGAATGATGAGTTGTCGTTCAGCTAACATTCAGAAACATTCCTTCTGCCCGAGTTTGAGTTTGAGTTTGATTTGTGGGGCAGGCAGCTCTGTAATTAGTACATTTTCCAACCTCTATAAGCATTGTCCTTGTCAACTGTGAACCGCTTGACAAATTGCAGCTAATCATCAACGGTCAACGGGAACAAGAACATCGGACGGCGTATCTCGCGGTGCTCCGCTCCGCTCCCATCCGATCCGATGGGCACGTAGTCGCTCGCCGTTGCTGCATTTGTTTTTGTGTGTGGCACCTTATCAATTGCAGAAATTTACATATTATTCAGATCATTATATAGTCATGTACATACACTCTTATCAGTTATCAGTATGGGTGTGTGAGTGGCGAATGTGTGCGACAAATACCTTCGAATAAGGGTATACAAGATTGACTCCTCTCCCTCTCCTTCTCTCACTCTGTGTCGATTATTTTCCCACATCCTCGGCACTTGTTCTCTTGCCTGACATTTGGCAGGTCAAGCACCGTTTTTTGCACCAATCTCCCACTCGAATCGATCGACGGAGTGGAGTGGATTGGGGATTGGGGATTGGGATTAGGGTGATTCATAGAATAGAGCTCTTTGGCCATCGAGAGATTCGTATCCGTGTTGGAGTTTGGTTCGGCATTTGGCTGGCGCCACTTTGAAGCTGCCAGAAATCAATAAAAAGCCAACAGAGGAGCTAAAAGAAAACAAATCTTTGGCCAATTCCGACGGCTGTTGCTGGTTGTTGGTTGTTGGTTGTTGGTTGTTCAAGACAAATAATAAAAAATTATGCGGCAACAACAGCAGCAATCGAAATTAATTATAACTCAAACAAGCATTACAATATTCCCGGGCCTGGCGCCAGCCAGTCAAAGATCATTAACATTTTTATGATCCGACACCCGAACAAAGAGCCACCACACATAAGGCTCATATCTGTTGTTACCTGAACAGCCGTCAGGCAACACAGACACGCCGAAGCACAGATACAGACACGGCCAGTACGCACCCATAAATCGCAAAACTAATAATGTCCAAGTTGTCTTAACACCTCTCGATAGTCGAGAATGACAGGGGCGGGCCGGAGGCTGCGCTGATGATTCGCCGAATTCGTAGCCAAGAACCGTACCGAACCTCCGTGGGCTCGATTCGATGCTATCTGTGGACTTCATCTTATGTTCTGAGTACAGACGTCGTAAAACCCAAAAACGAAATGATTTACTGGCCAAATTTCACTCTGGGCGGCAAGTGCAAAGTCTCTAGTCTCTAGGTCAGATCAGAGTCGCGGCAACAGTTGTGGCACGCACACACACTGCCACACACACAGGCAGTCTGCTCTGTTCTGTTCTGTTCTGTTCTGTTCCTCCAAAATTATTCTAAAATTAATGCGAACAAACCACAAAGTTGTGTTGTAGGTACAAAGTGGCACAAAACACCTGCAGTACATCCAAACAATTTTATTTTGACTAAACAACCGCTTGATCGTGATCTTTCATTTCATTTCTCCCCCGAAAACAATATTTCCTCCAGTCATAATTCACCGGAGCAACTGCAACAAGCAACAGCAATAGCAACAACCACAACAACGGGAAGAGCACCCACCACTGGACAGACATTCGCAGTACTTTGCAGGAAGAACAATTCAAGGAAGAGCATTGGAGGCCGAAAAACTAATAGAGATTTCTGAAGAACTCGATCGAATGGTGAAAATGTGTTGCAAATCGAGTGGCAAGTGGAAACCTTGTGGCCCGTCTCCCAGCGGACAGCAGCCAGAATCAACATCAACATCAACATCAACATTGAGGCGGCAAACACATTGCAGAACGATTCTCGCACTGATCCTGCTCTCGATGCTCCCACTGCAGACGACGACTGCCGCCGGAGTCGGGGATAGTCTTCATGGTAAGTGCTCTCATGATCGTGGCGATCGATCGATTTAATGTATTGTAAATACCCGTACTCGAACTCGACTGCGTTGTGTGCAACAGATCACTTGAGAATGATTGCTTGATGGCCTGATGGGTGCGTGAAGAGATCGTTTCAGATTTACTTTACTTTACGCACCATTACCTCATTGAGTAGGAGATCGCTCATGAAGATCTCTAAGGGAACTGGATTCACTTTAGGCCCTCTATAAAACCGCTTCCATAAAGGTTTGGTTTGATTGCTCTATTAATGAGCTTTTTATGATGCAAGTGAAGACGTGTTTCGAGGACCCAAAACTAATTTCCTCAATCTTCGGGCCATAAACTCCGTTTCAAATCTGATCGTAAAACTAAGAAGCAAATTCGAACCCTCCCTCCACCTCGATAGAGCTCAACACATTCTTCCAGAATTTGGAAATATTATTCAAATTTTTCCCACAGTTTCTGCTCCGCTGCCTCTCGGCCCAGGCTTAGTTATGGCTTATGGCAATGAATCATGGATTTTAACTGATTTTAGCTGATTTTTACGAGCTTATAACAGCTTTGGCTGGCAGCTGCCAGCTGCCAGCTGCAGTGATTATACTCGTAGATCGGCTTAGCTATTCCGATCACTTTCCAGGGAACTTCCAGCAATTGTCATCATCACTGAGTCATCATCACTGACATTGTGATCGACTTTAGAGGGCCATTTGTACCTTTCGCTGAGTGTTGCCTTTGATCGTTTGCACTTTGTCCATATTTGTGGGTCTCTGAAAATAGTTTCTGATCTTGCTCTCCTGTTGTTAGGCGCACGCTCCCCTTAACACGTGGCGTCTCCACTCCCCACGCTCTCCGTCCGCTGTGGCTGGCGCTTAATCTGCGAACTGTGATTAATTAGCGAACGGCGCCGCCGACGCCAGTCGCTGAGGGGGAGCAGAAGGGTGGTGCGAGAACAGCTACCGCCTGAGAGCATATTCCTATCAGCCTCTCCCTCTCGCTCTCCTCTCGGCTTCTTGAGCATTTTTGAGTAGACTTTTTTTATGGATTTTCGAGTGTGTTGAACGAAATAAAAAATCGCATAAATTAGATGTATTGCAGTGCCGTCGATATATCGGGTTACTTGAGCCAAGTTCATTAACTGTTCTGTCCCCCGGCGACGGAGCGATAACGATGGAGCGACGAAAAGAGAAAGGAATATAGAAAGTCCCCGCCGGCAAACGAGAAATAAATTTGGGGGGAAAATTTCCACTTGATTTGTTTATGAATCCAAACAGCAGGATACAATCGTATAACAGGAAAGAACAAGAAGAAGAAAGAGTAGTCTGCAGGTCCATCATCAAAGGTTTCCCCTTCCCACCACACAGAACCCCAAAACAAACAAGGGAACAAATTATATGGATTGCACAAGGGCAAAGGGGAAAACACGAGATCCCGCAGAGGAGGAAGAACGATAATAAGTCCTAAAGCCGCCCACAGAGCGCAGCAGCAGCAGCAACAAAAGAAAAAGGTAGCACAATTGCATCCTCTCTCCCTTCAGCTCCCTTCTGCCCTCCTCAGTTGAAGCGCCAGCGTCTTCATTTATCACTGCACACAAAAGAGAGAAAGGGAAGGAGAGTTGCTCTGCCTGCATTTCTGTGTGTGTGTGCGCGCGTTTATCAGCACATTGCAGGTGGTCTCTGCTCCTCCTCCACTCCTTCGCCAACACAAAAGGAACGAGAGTTCGGTCTGGGGCTCAACTCGGGTCACCTCGTCTCCCTCTCTCACGCTCTGTGGTTTCCGTTTGCCTTTTGCTGCGGTGCTTCGCTGCTGCTGCTGTTCTGTTGTTGTTATTCTGAAACATGTTTCGACATGCACGGCATGGCCAAGGTGTGCTTAGGCAAAGGTGAGACCTCACTTAAGAGGACTCTCAGTCGTCGCTTTATTTGTTGCAGTGCGTGCAAACAGAACGAGACTGCGCCACCCTATATAAATACACCCTTTGACGTGGCGCCAGCAGAAGAGCAGCAGGTAGCGCCGCAAACAGAGGAAGTCGAGCCGAGCCCCAAAAGGTAAACCAAACAAAGAAGCATTCTTTCACTCTTTTACTCTCACACAGCTACACCGATAAGTGGCCTAATCTCTTTGACCTGAGAGGGGGGCAGGGGTGAGTGGATCAGGGATAGGGAAGGGGAAGGGGGCCTTCTCCGTTTTGGGTCACGTGCTCGGATACCATCTCTCCGTCAGTGGGCGATTTCCGGCGATTCTCGTTGCGTGTTTGTGCATGAATGAATTATCTGTGTGTGTTTGCCGAGTATTATTACATCAAGAGGCAGGAAATGGTGGAGACGGGGGTCTTACGATGCCCTGATAAGCCCGACCCCTTCCCTGCCACTATCTTAATCACTAATCAAAACTGTAATTCCCATTTCAGGCGATCTTCTGTCTTGCTCGGTCGAGGGAGAGGAGGTTCTGACGGGCATCCAGAACTCCAAGTGCTTCAAGTGCATCTGCCAGGTAAGTTTCCGTGGTACTTGCAGTACCAGAGCGTCCCCTTGTATCCCCAAGCCCAACACTGGGCGGCTCCTGGGATCCTTGCCAAGACTTGGACTAGGACTCGGCCTTTGGCCTCGATAAAAATTCACTTAAAGCGGAATGAAATGAAATAACCTAACATGGCCAACACGGCCTGGCCTCAGTGCTAAAATAAATCTCATGTACTGTCGTGTCCTGTTCTGCCCTGTCTGGCTCTCTGCATGAGGCGACGCCAATGTCCAGCCAGCAGGACATCCTCAGACACATTTCATTGAAATTAAATCCTTAGCCGCCTGCCAAAATGAAAATTCCAAAAATATTTCAAATATCTGTGTACATGGGACTGTCCCACGTCCGTCCACTAGAGCAGACAGATACCATCCATGTACATATGTACGTAAAGTACATAGATAGTTTTTACTCAAAGAAATGCAGGAGTTGTAGATCTGGCCGGAACCGGCTGAAAGTGTTTGGCTCTGTTTGCATTTGTTTGGCTTCACCTTCTTCCTCACTCTGGCTCACTCTCGCTCTGCGGATCTCCCGCTCTCTCTCTCTCTCACGCCTTTGAATTTTTATGATCCAAGGTCGTCAAACGGGTTTCGACGCTACATGACAATCGTTAACCACAGTGTAGGACGGACATGGATGGTATGGGTAGTGGTAGAGGTAGAGGTAGAGGTATGGCTTAGCGATCACTTGGCGCCGCTGCTGTGATTTTTCGTCGCCAGCTACCGACGGGCTTCGATCCCGGGGCTCCACCGCTCTTCCAGTTCCCATTCCCGTTCCCTGCTCGATCTTCAGCTTCGTGTCGTCATTAAGCGAGCGCGTGCTCATGTGGTGGGAGGGGGAGGTAGGCCTTTTCAGGGTTGCCAGATAGCTGCGAGTGGGGCTGCCGCTAATTTAACGCTAAGCGCTGCTAAACGCCGCTGCTCCAATTTGACCGACAGACGCAGCCGCAGCAGCAGCCGCAGCCGCTGCCGAAGCTGGCGCCGATCATTTCGATCGATCCCATCCGATCGGGAGCTGCTTCGCTTCGCTTGGCTTCGTCCGAGCGACCGACCCACCGATCGATTGATCGTCGAAGCTCTTTCGTTGCCCCGGGCTAAGCTTCGTTGTGATTATTATTTCCATTGTGGCTGCCGTCGTCGTCGTCGTCAAGTGGGCGTAACCGAAATTAAAAAGCAGCAGCAGAAAACACAATGCTGGCGCCACCTTACTGGGAAGGCGCCATGACCAGCCTGCCGTCCCTCTCTGGCGGGGCGGCCCATGTTGCATCTCTGTCGCTCCGACAGTTCGACAGTCGATGCTCTGCTGCGTCGGCGCGCAGCTCATTAAAAGTTCATGAAATCGAATTTAATTTGTGTTTCGTTTGCGATTCTCTTAATTCTTTGCGTCTCTCTCCTTCCCCACTCCTCTCGGAAGCACTCTTGCTCTCTCCCCCACTCTCTCTGAGGGCTGCCAAAAAAGTTCCTCAATGAAGTGTGCAAAGCGTTCAACTCTAATTGGGGGGAAGCACGCATAAACCCGATACTTTATGGCAGCGCGACTGTACCCGTACTCATACTCCACTCATTATTCGCACGAGTACTCGTTGTGGGGCAAACTTTTACGACTGGCGTTTATGGTCTAAAGTATATTAGTATACAAATCTCCATAGCTTCAAACAGCTACTCGTGTAGGGGTATAGGGGTATAGAGCTTATCCCGTCAAGGACAATCAAAGAAATTGTCTCTCAGACTGCCGCTGACTACGCGTCAACAAATTTTCGGTTTTATTCGTTTATTATGCTGAATCCGCTGAATCGCTCCTAATGGTTTATGATTTAAACGGTTTTTATTACGTTTCCACCCACCACCTCCCACTCGGGATGGTTTTCTCCAGAGAACTGTCTAGTATATATATTTGCAAATTAAATTTAAGGATAAAGTCTGTATTTTCTTGAAGTCTGCTCGCTCCTGATTAATATTAATGAAGGATTTACGATCAGGAAACGGACATCATTGAAGGATTTAATTAGCGGACTGGGGACCATCAGTCAATACCTTCCGCATGAGAGCATTCACATTCCGGATTTGTGCAAATATTTCTACAATTTCGGTTCAGTTTGTGGCTGAAGCCATGAATATGGATTACTATGTGGAATACTGGAGCACGGGCAAACCAGATCTGCCGAAATATTCAGGTCTGCCAACTCCTTTCTTGCATATTCGCTGGAATTCCATTCTAAGATAAGTTAAGTCCGATTCCGAGTTCAATTCCACACAATTCCAAGCCGAGACATAGCCCACAAGTGACAAAATACACATGACCATAAAACCACAAGACTGTCATTACCATATTCACTCCGTGTCTAAAGAGACAGAGACTCTAACCTCGCCAAGTTTGCCGGGCAAACGTTTGCCGTTTTGCCGTTTGGGCCAACATGGAGATGGCTAAGAGAGAGAGAGAGAGAGAGAGAGAGGCAGCAACAGAAGTGGAGACACAGACACAGACGGAGAGGCGAAGACGGTGTTAAAACTGATCATGTTTTGTCAAACGCAAGGTCGTTAGAGGCCGTTTGCAAATGTGGTTCTGCCACTGTGGCACACATAGACACACACACACACACACACAAAAGCTGCCGCTGGGCAACAACCATTCTACTTAGTTGCTTGGGTTGCCATCGTGGCGCCTTCAATCTATGGCTCTCTCTCTGTCCCTCTCTCTCGCGGAGCGGAGCACAAATGTGCTTTAACTTTCATGTTGGCTGAACATTTTTCGATACCGGTTCCAGATTAGAAAGAAAGAATTCCAAAGCATAAACAGCTGGATGGAGATGGAGATGGAGCTGGGAATGGGAATGGGTAGTGGAAGATGCAGAGGGTGCGCTCGGTGGACAAATCCAAGTCGTTGCCAGATTTCGAGAGCATTTTGAACTTTGATCCGAGAGACAGAAAGCGATTAAGGTGATATTCAATTGCATTTTATGGCTGCCACACAAAAACAGAGACAGATAGACAGCCAGACAGCCAGAGAGAGAGAGAGAGAATGCCATACTAAAGTGGCATTAAAATTCCAACCAACAACTGCCATTAAATCTAATACGATGATAAACATCTCTGCCCTCCCCACAGACACCCCATCCACTGCATTTTCGTTTTCATTTTCATTTCATTTTGCACAACAATTGCAAGTCTTGCCATTGCCCGTGCCGTTGCCGTTTTCCCCCATCCAAATAGAGATCCAATCTGGTTTCGTTGCACTAAATTATTCACACAGATTCTCAAACACACACACACACACACACACACACACACACGCACCTACAGCCAGTGGATACCCTCTCGAAACCCCCCGGACATTGTTCGAAGCAACTGCATACAAATTAGTGAAATATTTTGCCTGTTTTTGGTCGACATCTATCTAGATTTATAGATACATTCACAATTAGCGGCGGCCCCAGTCCCAGTCTCAGTCCCAGTCTCAGCTTCAGACTGGCTCGGGGTCTGGCTTTAACCTGTCACAGTCGCAGTTACACAGCAAGCAGCTGCACACAAGGGTTAAAGGCAATTGCATAAGCCTGGCAAGTTGCAACAATTTGACTTATGATCGACATCAATTCTAATGGGCCGCGTTGCAGCTGTCAGCATGTCGTTAACGAGCAGCCAACTCCAGATACACAGATACACAGATACACAGATACACCATGCACCCATAGATACTCGTGTCCATAAGCCGATTCCAGCCAAGTGCTGCTGGTGGGCAGGGATTGGGCGCTGGCTGGGGATCAGCTAACGAGTTGCTAACTGCAGGGGCAGTTGTAGGGATAAATTACCGGAGCATAAATCATTCGCATCCGAGAGAGAAACACTCTGCATAATCCCAGCAGAGACAAAGTCAAGGCAATCGCCACGCCCCTGTCTGGACTCGCTGGCGTAAATTACAGCAGAGGCTGCCTGACGCTGCCCGGCGCTGGCTGGCTCCCCGAAGGTCAGAGTGCACAGCTTCATTGAGCAATTGCAAATGGCAGGCAGCTGTTGGGCCATAAATCAGGGCCTCTGACAGGCATCTCTCACGCAAGAAAATTGCGCATACGACACAGGGGATGCCAGAATATATTTAACCAGCTGCTCCCTGCCGAATACTCATTGCGTATTGTGTTGAACTCCACAGAATGGCTTTGTGAACTGCGCCAAGACATGTCCGGCCATCGACGACTGCTACCTGCTGGAGTCCAAGCTGGAGGCGAGCGACCCCTGTTGCCGCAAGTGTAAAGGTAAGTGCCGCAAAGGGAGAGGTTTTTGGCAGAGATTTTAGCATTTTTAGCTTTCCCCTAAAGGTTGCATCTTTCGTGGGCTGCCCTATGCGAGTGGCGCCGAGTGGAGCGACCCGGAGGATCCCTGCAAGACGTACAAGTGCATCGCTAGTGTTGTCACCGAGACAATACAAAAGTGTTATTCACAGTGCGACGACAACCAGCTGCAGGCGCCGCGTCCCGGCGAGTGCTGTCCCACCTGTCAGGGTAAGTCCTTCCCCAGCAACACAACACAGTCCACAGTCCACAGTCCCCAGTCCAGAGCAGCAACATCACTCACTAAAATTAGCTGCAAGCTCAGACTAATGCCTCATAATCGCCAGACAATAGAGAGCCACAGAGCGACAGATGGTCAACAATTTGTCCACAAAGGCGATACTCTACCCACGCAGAGGGTTCCACGGGTGAATGGCTGAAAGATGATCGTCAGATGGGAAGATGGGCAGATGTGCACCCAATGCTTATTCGAGGATCACCTGCAGAGAAGATCATTCGGCCGAAGCGCTGCCCCCACACAGACGGAGGCCAAGTGTGCCTGATATTCGATATGCAATCAGATTAAAGATCATTGAGGCTTCTTTATGACTCTATTATCAAATGATTTATTCATGGGGCATTCCGATATTCGACTCGGACCCTCTCCCCTCTCTCCGATCTGTTGTGATCCGTTCTGCCCCGCTGTTATTGTTGGCTCCGAGCAATCTGCTGGTTTATGGGCTTTAAATTGTCTATTAAGGGGACAATGTCGCCCCATCTGAGAAAACAACAGCAATATCAGGCCAATATCAATATCAGAAAAAAGAGACTGCAAATCCGGGGCCCTGCTATGAGTTGGAAACCTGTTTGGGGCGATCGCGATTCGCCTTGTGGAAAATTTGTTGGCTCGCGGCCAAACATCGGAAAGCGATCTAAATCATACATATGTCAGGGCGATCTAGGCCGCTGTCTAATGGGATTCGATGTGCTTAACTCTTTGGTTGCAGGTTGCAAGATCAACGGACAGACGGTGGCCGAGGGCCAAGAGGTCGTCGCCTCGATCGACGATCGCTGCTTGGTCTGCCAGTGCGGCGACAACCAATTGACTTGCGCCAAAATGACCTGCCCCATTCTGCAGTGCCCCAAGACGAAGCAGAAGCAGCACCCCAACGAGTGCTGCCCCCGCTGCACGGAGCAGCGGGTCTTCATACCAGTGACAGGTGAGAAGAGTCCCAGTCCCAGTCCCAGTCCCGCCCCATGAGAACCTCTTCCATGTTTCCATTCTCCATTTACTCTGCAGGAAAGTGCATCTTCAACAACAAACTCCACTATGACAAGACGCAGTTCATGCCGGATCGCTGCACCAACTGCACGTGTCTGAATGGCACCTCCATCTGCCAGCGGGCCACGTGCCCCATCCTGGAGTGCGCCCCCGAGTTCCAGGAGGACGACGGCTGCTGTCCCCGCTGTGCGGTGGCCGAGGTGCGCAGCGAGTGCAGTCTGGAGGGGATTATCTACAAGAACAACGAGACGTGGAACATGGGCCCCTGCCGGAGCTGTCGCTGCAACGGCGGCACGATTCGCTGCTCGGAGATGCGCTGCCCCGAGGTGAAGTGTCGGGCCAACGAGGAGCTGAAGCTGCCGCCGGGCGAGTGCTGCCCGAGGTGTGTGGAGACGGCGGGCACCTGCACCGTCTTCGGGGATCCGCACTTCAAGACCTTCGACGGGAAGTTCTTCAGCTTCCAGGGCAGCTGCAAGTACCAGCTGGCCGCCGACTGCCAGGGCCACAGCTTCCACATTCGGCTGACGAACGACGGACGCGGCACGAAGCGCTCCAGCTGGGCCAAGACGGTGACCCTCAAGCTGCACAACCTGCGCATCAATCTCGGCCAGAAGCTGCGCGTCAAGGTGAACGGAACGCGGGTGGTGCTGCCCTACGCGGGCCGTGCCGGCGACCAGAACGTGACCATCGGGCGGCTGGCCGAGGGTGGTGGCGTCCTGCTGCGCTCGGAGCTGGGCCTGGCCATCGAGTGGGATGGCAGCGGCTTCCTGCAGGTCTCGGTGCCCGCTCACTTCAAGCACCGGATGTGCGGCCTGTGTGGCAACTTCAATGGCAGCGGGCGCGACGATCTCACGGGACGCGACGGGCGTCAGCACGGCGACGACGAGGTCTGGCACTTTGCCAACTCCTGGAAGGTGGGCGGCCCCAAGTCCTGCTCCCGCCCACGCGAGAACATCGCCGCCCTGCCCACGTGCAACAAGCGGCGGTCGAGCTTCTACTGCCAGCCGCTGCGCGTCTCGGAAGTATTCGGACACTGTGATAGTAGGCTTAATCCCATCAACTACATCGACTCCTGCCGCATGGACGTCTGCGAGTGCCCCTCGGGCAGCTGCCACTGTGACAGTTTCGCGGCCTACGCCCACGAGTGCCGCCGCCTCGGCGTCCAGCTGCCCGACTGGCGCACGGCCACCAACTGTCCCGCTGGCTTCAGGCGGAATGCCACACTCGCGAACTTCCTGGACAACGAGTACTACGGGGACAGCTTGAGGCGGTTTCCCGGTCCAAACTCCTTCAAGGGAAGGCGACGCAAGCAGCAGCAGCAGCAGCACCTTCAGCATCTCCAGCAGAGCAGGAGCAGGCAGGGCCAGCATCAGCATCAGCATCGTCAGCACCAAAAGCAGAATCAGCTTCTGGACAATGAGTTCATCAAGAAGCATGTCCCCAGCAGCCTGCTGCTGCAGCAGCGTGCGCCGGATCGCACGCCGCCGCCACTCCACTGAGGGAGAGAGAGAAAGAGTCGCTGCGCTTCTGCTCTGCCATAAGTTACGACACACACACACGCACACACGTACACTCTGACTCGCACAGATAGACTCTCCCACACTTTTCGTAGCATACTTTTAGTGGCGAGAGAGGGAGAGAGTGGGGAAACTTTTAGTTGAATTCGCTCCCATGACAGACAGACAGACAAACACGACAGACACGACAGACCCAGGCAGCAGTATTACGCTGAAGCATTACGTACAGTCAGTCCCCTGGCAACAGGCAGATACATGCATAAATATATACATGCTATATACACAGATATATAATGTACATGGGGATACAATGCACTATCCATCAATGAAACTCATCCTCCAACTGTCGCCATTTCGCATAGAGCCTAAGTTTTATTTATTTTAGCTTTAGTAAAGGAATTTTCTTGATTAGATCAAACATGGATGTATTTTAAATGGGAGTAATCTGCCCCAAATAGTGTTGTGTGTGTGCCTGATTTTGTATTTGTATTTGTATTCCTGTATGCGTGTGTGTGCACTAAGTTTTGTACTCTCCTAGCATGGCCTCGTGTACTTAGAGTTAGCGCCAAAAAAAACCTAGCTAAAGTTTGCTTAAAATTTAAGCCCTAAGCCTAAGTTCCCCACACCCCTAGAACAGCACCTGGAACAGCTACTGCTACAATACCTACTACATACGTATGAGAATAGCACAAAACAGTATTTTTTGCTTAGTTAGAACCCCCCTATCCGGTCTGGATCCTACTCTCCAACCTTGCTCTAGACCCGCTCAAAGACGAAGGACAATCCAATTTTCAGCGCCGCTTAGCCTTAACCTAGCCCCCGTTTACTTTTTACCCCCAAAACTGTGTTAATATTTATAAACCCCACATACATATACCATGCGAAACTACTTCTACTACTCCAACTACTCGTATTTATGCACTTACTCCTAATTGTAACTCGTAAACGCAGTCCCGATGGAATCATCCCGAGGGATGCTCTTTGCCATTTCTCACTTATAGTTGCAGATTAATCGAGTTGAATGAACCTTAATGTAATTTACCTAACTATAAACATACAAGATACAAGATACAAGACACTTCTTGAAATATACTTAGTAGTCGATGGCTGGATCTGTACATTTGCCAGACAAGACAAATATCCTAAGAGAGGAGGAAAGAACAAACGGACAAGCCCAATGCAACAGCCAAATTGCAAATGGATGATGAAATGAAATTGAAATATACGAAAAACAAAGCTAATGGGAACTGTGTTTATATTTCTCGATGGTCGGATCGGGCTCTTGACTTTGGGGATCTCTGGCAAAAGAGCTGTTTCTTGTTGAAACATTCGAGTGCGGCATCGGTTTCGCAGGCACGAACTTCACAGCTCACATTCGGACTCGACACAGAATTGGAGACGCTGCGTCTGGGGAGTCACGGAAGGAAGTCACAGTCCAACTGCCTTGCCAAGGGACGGCCAGCAGCGAGCAGCGAGCAGCCAGCAGCCAGCAGCCAGCATCCATCGCGAGAGGCAGAAACAGAGTCCCCAATCAGAGCTGGCTGGCTGGCATCGAATTACGGGGCACTGGTAATGGCAATGGCAATGGCAATGCCAATTTATGCATGTTTGCTTAGCAATAATTGTCAGAGTTGTCTAGGGTTGGGTGACCAGCAATTCCAGTGCCGGGAGCGGTACACACAAGTTTGTCTGTAATTTGAACATGCCAGCAGCGGCGGCTTGTTGATTTCTTGGAAAGAAAGAGCCACATCCACATCGCCATCGCCACACACACTCAAAGAGCTCGTAAATTCAACGATCCGATCGAAGGCGATTTAGAAGGAAAACACAATCTGGCGGCCACAGGCCACAGGCCACTTGGCCACTTGGCCATTTCTCATTGCTCATTGCTCATTGAGGAAAGCCACAGGCAGTGGCAGAGCCACGCAGCAGGCACGTGCAGGGAATAAGCAACAAGTCGATCATCAGGTTGATTCTCCCCCCAGCCCATACCAATTCCCATTCCAATTGCAACCTGATTGATGCCCGTCGCTGCTCGTTGTTCAGCAGAAACGATCTCGATCTGGTATTGGCTCTTGGCTCTTGGCTCTTGGCTCTGGTCTCGACTCTGATGACATCTGCCTGCTGTAATGCCTTTGAATGCTTCCGCGTGTCGCTCGCCTGGAGACGCCGGGCGACGCGTGCTCTGCCCTTATCAGGCGCTAACCTGTCCATATCGGTGCAAATGCCATATCCATTCCACTGGGGAGATCTGGGCAGCCAGCCATCCACTGGTGTGGCGCCACGGCGTGAGCCAAATTTGGCCATTGGTGAAATGTTTGTCGGACAATTGGCGTTTACTGCATTCCCCATGGGGCGGCATTAGACCAGACATTAGACCACTCCGGGCCGCTCCGGCTCCTCTCGCTCGCTCGTATTTCACAGACCACTTAAAATCCCCAATTTATCAATCCGTGCTCCAGCAACTCATAAAGATGTCCGGCCAGCTGTCCAGATAAGCCGCCAGCAAGGACAAGTCCGCGACCATCGATGTCCTCTCAGCCATGCATCATCTGCCATGCCAGTCGCCGACGGATGCAAAGGGATGCCATGGCATGCCATGGAATGCCATGGGATGGGATCGTTCCTAAGTGTGCATAAGCGAGTGGAATCACATGAATCATCATTCAGAGTGCGCGTGGGAGCAGCCATTGTCATCGTCTTGGCCATTAGCGCGTACAGACATATGCCACTGGCACTCCCACGTACGAGTGAGCCGCTCCAAGGGCTGCACTTTCCCAATGCCGCAGGGAGGGTGGAATTCCGAGTGTGTCCTGCCCACGCTTGGCTCCCCATTGGGGGGATGTTGACAGAGCTCTGGACAAATGTGGCATTATTTATGCTATTGATCCGCCGGAACCACTAAGGGGTCACCCCTCAGAGAGGGAGGAGAGGGAGAGAAGAATAAATAATTTGCAGCATACTCTTCGGCGCTGGCCATAAAGCGGCAGCAACGGGGTGGCAATTCCGAGCGTTTCCAGCAGCACACAATGGTTAAGGGGATGCAGAAAGCTTACTCAAATGAAACATCCTCAGCTGGCATTGCTTCTACCTATGAAGTATCCCCTTCCAATCACTTGCATCCCTTTGCTTTGGTTAATCTTTTCTGCATAATCGGCGAGATTTTGCATTGTAGATTGAGTTGTCTTGACCATAAGTTAATTAACTGTGCAAATTGGTTATTAATTGCCGACAGACACCTCCCCCATAGAGCCCCTAGCTGTCAATCAGTGTCAGTCATCAGATGTGCAAATGTCTGCGGGCATTTGTTTGAATGGCTGAATTAATGAATAGATTTCCATAGTTCCCCATCTCCGCATCTGCGATTCTCATGGGTTTTCGACTAACTTGATTGCCAATCAAGAATTCAGCGCTTGCTCTAATGGCAATGGCGTGTGTCCCACTGAAACACAATTAGCTACCAAGATATTGGCTCTCTCTCTCGCTTTACACTTTAGGACATTCCATAGAACTCTCACAGCGAACAGAATCACTTGTTTTCGCACCTCGACAGACAGAGAGGCGTCGGCTTTGGCTTTGGCTTTGGCTTTGCCGACAAACTGGTTGGGTATTCAGATTTAAACATTTGGCGAGTCAATATGGTTTATTAATTATATTCAATTAACTCTGCTTGTTCCCCGACTCGCATCGATTGTTGTGTACCTGGGGGATACATAATTCATTTCATTTTGCACCAAGCGAAGCCATCCCGTCCCGCAATCAAATGCAATTATGCAAAACTCGGATGCCGCTGCCAATGACGGAAGTTATTCGACTGCAATCCGTACGGGGTATTAATTGCAGTTATCTAATCTCAATCGCAATTACAATAACAATTCGAATCCACTGATCGGCGACTTTGCACGTGGACTGGCGATCAATCTTGGTCGCTCGCTAATAACAGCAATTAGTGCCAAAAGAACCCAAAGACATGGCGAAGGGAACACTAATTAGTCAAGCTCTTGGGGGGAAAGTCGAAGCAGGGGATGCCCTCTACAACCCATTAAAGATCCATCAATCAGCAGCACACTCTAGAGTGTCTGTCCGTCTGCCTTTCTTCTCGCATTTCTCTGCCATAAATCTACAAGGAGAAGCCTAAATCACGCGACAACTCCTAAGTGCCGCCTTATCGGGCATTATCGTGGTCGCAATTTGCATATTAAAGCCACTAAATTTAGTCTACTTTTGGACGGATGAGTGTGTCAATAAAAATTGGGTAATTAATTGCACTTCCCCAGCCGCCAACCCAACAAAAGATATGCCCGAGTGTGTGTACTTTTATGTAGATCTTTTAACGATCGCATTAACATCAAACGCGCACATTTTATGGTCTGTTCTGTCAACCGATCGATCGATCGATCGATCGATCGTGGCAACAACGAACTTTCGGCACAAACTCTCTTCTGTCCACAAAGAACTGAGAACGAACAGACGCACTGGGAGATGCTCACTAGTCGTCGGATCTGCTCGCCCTCAAATTAATATTTATATTTATTATCATTATTTTGTATAAAACTTGTTCTTGGCCGTTTTGTTCTAAACGTGTTAGAAAGGCTTGGCTGAGGCTGCTATGGCTTGGACTTTGCGAAATGGCTCTGGAGAATCGAGAGAAATATATACAAAAGTTGGCAGGCGGCATGGCACACTCTCTGGCTCCAGCTCTCCATGATCTCAGCTCATTCGGAGGGAAACATTCAATAAAGACGGCCACGCGCACTGCCATTCAGAAGATATAGAAAGATAGAGCCATTCCCATCCAGAATGTCTGAGTTTGCACCTTCGTTAGTCTGCCTGCTGCTGCTGCTGCTGCAGCTGGTCCTGGCCAAGGAGTACAGCTGGTGCGATCCGACGCTCTGCGAGAAGGGCGTGCGGCATGTGGCCTGCCGGAATACAGGGGTAACTACAGGAGAAGAACACAACAAGACAGCATCTGATTGTCGCTCTCCTAGCACTTTGCCAGACGCTGCCAGCCGGACTCCTTCCAGGTGGACATCAGTCGCCACAAGTCGGACTTCCTGCACGCGCACAACAAGCGGAGGAACTTCCTGGCGCTGGGACGAGTGCCCGGCTACTATCCAGCGGCACGCATGGCCACCATGGTAGGTCCCATGGTCCCCATTTGCGGCTCAGTCTCTCAGTCCAACTCTTTCGCAGGTGTGGGACGACGAGCTGCAGTATCTGTCGCATCTGAACACCCGAACCTGCATACTGGACCACGATGACTGCCACAGCACGTACCGCTACGCCAATTCCGGGCAGAATCTGTGCGCAGTGTGGCGCAACCGGAATCCACACGTGAACGTGACCAGCCTGGTGGAGGAGTGCGTCGGGCTGTGGTTCAACGAATGGGATCTGATAGACAACAGCTTCATCGATGCCTTCAAAGTGACGCCCATATTGTGAGTACTTGGGAGAGGTGCCAGTCCGGAGCTTATGCGTGTCTCCCCCTCCTCCAACCTTTAGCGAGGACTATGGCCACTTTGTGGAGATGAGTGTGGACAAGAACTTCTCGCTGGGCTGCTCCATCATGCGCTTCACGCGGCCGGACTACCCCTCCGTGTACATCTACAATGTTGTCTGCAACTACGCCTCGCTGTACGCCCTGGGGGCGATCGTCTACGAGACTGGCTACCCGGCCTCGCGCTGCACCACGGGCAAGAGTCACTTCTATCCGGGCCTGTGCTCCACGCGCGAGGAGTACGATCCCAACTGGTGATCCGTCCTGTGATCCTCAGTTCCCCCCCTAGTGTTACCCCCAGGTCCCACTGCCAAGTATTCAGAAATCCGTAGCTTTACAACACACACACACAAAAATAAATAAATAAATGATCGCATCGCTCTGTGACGCTCAACTTCAGCCACTTTGCATAATTGATTTTCCAATCCCATCTTATTCCGTTCCATCCTGACTTTTGACTTGTGACTTCTGATTTCTGACTTCTGACTTCTGACCAGAGTCAGGCTCTGCTCCGAGTGTCATTGCATAACCAACCACACAATAAATAATTCATTCTCGTTTAGGACACTACGCTGTAAGACTATCAAACCGATTCTACAAAGAAAGCAGCGGCTCACCCCGCTCTGCCCTTCTGCAGCCATCTCGAGACTGGTTTGGCACCCAAAACTTTCGTTTGTTATTGTCCAAACGCAGATCCATAAAGAGATGCTCGAAGAGTATGCAAATATCAGCTTTGAGTTGACTTGTCTTCAGAACTTATTGATTTGGAAACCTGTCCCGCCGCCCGTCCCGAGCAGTGGCAAATACTCGGCACATGCGATCGAAAAAGCAACAAAAGATTTTATTAGCTTCTATCCGCGAAACTCACCAATTGGGTCAATGTCAGTGGCGAAGCCCCAGAAGCCCCAGAAGCCCCAGAAGCACCAGAAGCCTAGACTCTCTCACAGAGTGCCACTCGCAGAGTCACTGAACTGCTGGAGTGACGCCCACGCGGAGTCCACTTGCGATGAGTCGCGTGGAGTAGACTCCGAATGAATGATGAAGCAGAATGCTTAATGTCCATGAGATTGTCCATTAAAAGTGTCGCCACTGCAATCACTGGAGAACCTTTTCGACTTTCGTCTTTCTTGGAGCATCTTGAACTTCACCCAACTCTGGGTTTATGACTCCGTTTAATGGGTTCAGCTTGGGCTGGAGCGAAAAGGATTCTATCGTAATCCACGTAATCGCACCTGCCTAGACAGCACCCGAATGAGAACTAATCTATTTCAGCGCTCTCCACTTTGCGGCTGGCCTGAACTCCACTCAACTCTGGGGCTTTGGCTTAATGGTCGAGTTTTCCTAGAAGTCGTGCGCCGAGTGCGGCGCGTCTTTCGGTGTGAACGCTCTTCGGAGAGCTGGAGATACAGATACAAAGACAAATGGAAATGATTCATAAAACGTCGCTTGACCTGTCTCAAGCACTGCGGACGGCTGGCTGGTCAGTTGCACCGCTGCTGCGGTTTTCGTGCTGGAAAACAAACAGCAGACGCTGCCAAAAATAAACACCAAAATTCAATCACAAATTTCTGAATAAATATCGCCTTGGAGGCGGTCAGGATCTGCACTTGCGATTACATTGACAGCCGGAGAACATGGAGCCTGGGAAATATTATCTGATCTGCTGCAGCGCTCTGCTGATGCCTCTGAGTGTGATTGGACAGCCGCTGTCCTGGTGCGATCCGCAGCTGTGCCCCGAGGGCAAGGTGCACATTGCCTGCAACAACAATGGAGTAAGTGGCGAACGCTGCCCCTCCCTGATGCCCCCCTAACCAAAAACTATCTGCCACAGAAATTCCATGAGAGCTGCTCGAAGGATGCCACCATGGTGAACCTGAAGCCACATCGCGCACTCATCCTGGCTGAGCACAACAAGCGGCGCAACTTCATTGCCTCGGGCTCACTGCCGGGCTACTATCCGGCCACTCGGATGGCCACCATGGTGTGGGACGCGGAGCTGGAGTACCTGGCGACGCTCAACCTGAAGACCTGCCACCTGGAGCACGACGACTGCAACCACTCGTACCGCTTCCGCAATCTGGGTCAGAATCTGTGCGGCGTCGATCGCTACCGCAGTGCCCCAATGAACGTGACCAATCTGGTGGAGCAGTCGCTGGGTCTGTGGTTCGGCGAGCACCATGTCATCGACAGCAGCTTCATCGCCGACTTCCGCGTGACCAGCAAACTGTAAGTGGAGCAATCGCCTTGGGGCACCTGACACTCTCATTCGCTCCTTTCCATTGGCAGGGAGAAGTACGGGCACTTTGTGGAGACGGTGGTGGACCGCAACACCCACGTGGGCTGTGCCATGATGCGCTTCACCAATCCCAAGTATCCCTTCCTGTACATCTACAACACGGCCTGCAACTATGCCAGCGTCTACGCCATCGGCGTGCCCGTCTACAGTGCGGGAGAGCCCGCCTCCGAGTGCCGCACGGGCACCAATCCCCAGTACCCAGCCCTCTGCTCCGTCCAGGAGAAATACAATCCAAACTATAATATATACTAGAACTGAACCATGGAACTCTGAACTCTCTCCCTCTCTGCTTTGCTTTTGTTTTCACTGCCAGCGAGACGATCATCTGTTTCTGATTGATACGTCAATTTGTGTTTATTGTTCCGTTCCGGCTGCTAATTTTAGCTGGGTGCTAATTTCCAGTTCCGATCGGACAGACAGTCGGGCAGACTGCCGGGCAATAATTTATAAATCTTAACGGAAACAGTGCGAAGCGCTTCCCGCACAGTGCTTGTCGACATCGATGGATCTGCGAGTGAGTGAACTGCATTAAGGCATTGATTGCTAAAACATTCAAACCAAAAGAGAATTGTTCAAGTGAGTAATCCACACAAAATGGACAACTTTGCAATGGCAGATCCAAGTCCTTTTGCTGAGCAAATGGTCTCGATTCCAGTGTGCTCTCTCAGCTGTATTTCACTTGCTGCTGCCTGAGTGCTGCTTGCGTGTGAGTGACCGATCCTGCTGCATTCATTACGACACTTTGATTCAAAGTAATTGCAATCAGCGGATCGCAAATTAATATTTGATCACTCGGGATCACATTAAAAGGCTGTTAATTGATCGATGAGAGCAGCAAACACCACCACCCCACAACAGTCCCTCCATCCACAAATCGGGAACACAATGCACGCTGAGTCGGGGTTTGGGCATTCTTTTTCAGTCAATTCAGTTGGCAATTTACGGGCGACAGCCTGGAACTGAAACCAGGCCTAGATGCTGCTTGGCGCAGACTCCCATAACTCAGGCCGGCCTGCCTGTGTGGGATTTGCCTGTGGAGCTGACAAGGGATCAGCCACATCACGGCAGCTGCCCCGTGCTCCTCCTGCCGCTGCCCACTTGCAGCTTGCACTGCATCTCAGTCTGCATCTGCATCTGTCTCTGTCTCTGACTTTTATCTTGTTTTATCTGCAGCCATGCATCATAAACGAGTTCGCTGCCTGCCGCCGTTCCTGTCCACACAAATCTCTCTCTCTCTCTCTCTCTCTCTCTCCCTCGAGTGCACTCCCACGGACACGACGTTCACATCTCTGTTGGGCTGTTGGCTATGCAAATTCCGATTACGAGGCTTTATCGCCCGAAGAATCGGAGATCTGGTGCCCAGCTGCCAAATAAAGATCTCTGTTGGGACAGCTCTTGCATTTATTGGACACCAGGAATGGATATGGGAATGGGAATGGGAATGGCACTGGCATGGGGCCCTACCACCAGATGCCTAGATCGCTGAACAGCTCCTCGGTGGTAGGGAGCTCAAAGTCCTCGTTGACCCACTCGGAGCGTGGCTGGGCGGAGGTTTTCTTCAGTGTTCCCGTCCCAGTGCCTGTCGTAGTGCCAGTGCCAGTGCCAGTGCCATACTCCTTGCGGTAGCCCACGTCCTCGCGTAGATCCTCCTCGTCGTACTCCTCATCGTCCTCCACGGCCTCCAGGGAGCTGCTCATGTTGGACTTGCGCTTGGCTGGTGCCAGTGGCATTCCCTGGTCCCCCAGCATGCGCTGCATGTTGCCAATCTCATCCACTTGCTTGGCCCGCCGTTGCTCCTCTCCCACTTCCACGGGCTGCTCTGCAACGGCCGAGACGCCACTGGCTGCCGGCTGCGGAGACGAGGCCAGACGCACGATTCGGTCAAAGAGCGTGGCAAAGTGCCGCCTGAAGCGTCCATAGTCGAAGCTTTCCTTGGAGCTATCGGTGGCATCCAGCAGACCGTGCGTCGAAGTCGATTTCGAGCGGGTCAGTGGCCCAAAGTGGTGCAGCATGTCAATGCCGGGCGCCATCGATTCTTCCCAACTCTGCAAAGGGGAACACACAATTAGTTAAAGTGAACAAGTTGGATTTTCCACTGCGTTTCCGGTTCACCAGCTCGGTCCAGTCCTCGATGGGAGTGCTCAGAACAGAGCCGACAACGTTGACAACGCGCTCCTCCAGGTTCAGAGCCTGAATAATCCATTTGGCCAGAGCCACGGCGCAGTTTAGGTCACAGCGTTGCCTGCAAATCGATAATAAAAATAAAAGTTGTAGCGAAGTATGCGACGAGCGGGTACCCTGTGCACCGAAAGGGAGGAAAAGGTTCCAGGCTGCCAATAAACTCTCTCTCTCTCTCTCAGGAGTTGGAGGGTATCAGAATAATGATTATTTGAATGGGAAAGTGCTGGAAGGGCAGTGGGAGAATACCCTAATGGTCTGGCCAATTATCGAACCATCCCACCCAAACACCCACCTGCGCTCGTCCCGCCGTATCTCCACGAGCTTGTCGCCCTCGAGTATCAGCTGGTCGTAGTTCGTCTCGATTTGCATGGTGATGGCCTCCTTGGGCTCCTGCTCCTGCTGCTCCTGCAGCTGCCGGTGGAGGGTCTTGAACTGCAGCCAGAGGTGCTCCAGTTGCTCCTGAAGGAACCGAAGGAGAGTGATCTAGAGAGCTGTTCCTAGCTGATTCCTGCTCGGACTCTTACCGTCTGCTTGCGGATGTTCTGCTGCGTCTCGTGGTGCACATCGACGCGATGGAGGATGGGCTGGACGGGCAGGAAGGGAGCGGCCATCAGGCGCTCCACGCAGCGATTGAGCACACCGCGCTTGGGCTTCTTCTTGTGCATTTTGATGAGGCCAGCGGAGCCGTCCAGCTGCAGCGTCGTCTCCACAATGCGCTCCAGGATCATGGCGAAGGTCTCCACGCAGTCGGACTGAATGCGGATGCGGTTCGAGTTCTTGGCCGCCACCACAGTGATGAGCTCCGACTGCTTGTCCAGCCCGGGACACAGCAGCTGGAGGCCCAGTGCGTGGGGGGCGGCATCTGCCTGTCCCTCGAGGAACTCGCCGAAGAAGGTGCCCAGCTTGGGGACGACGTGTCTGCTGGTGATGCTGTACGTCAGCTTGATGCCTGCCGCCTTCTGCGGCTGACACACGCGATAGAACATGGCCAGGGGCAGGTGGGCGCTCTGCTGAATGACTCGGGGAATGCCCTGCGGATGACATCGCGAGGAGGATTAGTGTCCTGCAGGGTCCTGCTGCCTTCGCACTCACCCTGGGAGTCACAAAGGAGGCGACCACCTCCACCTTGGTGCTGTGGATGTGCAGCAGCTCGGCGATGTAAAAGTCCAGCTTCAGCTCCTGGCTGGTGCCAGCGGACACGTCCACAAAGCTCATGGTGTCCTGGCTGCAGCGAACGCCGCTAGGGGTGTGGAAAATCAGCTGCAGCTCGGCCAGATCCGCCTTGATCTTGAACCGCAGCAGTCCCTTGGCCGAGGGCAGCTCCTTGACGGCCACGTCGGCGGGCACGTCCAGCAGTAGGGTGTCCAGATCGTCAGAGACCTCCGCCTGGATGCTGAAGCTGAGGCGCACCTGATCCGCCGCCTGCTGGTTGAGGGCGTCCATGTCGCGCACATCCACCGCCTCCTTTATCTCGTCCTCCAGCTGCTGCAGCTCCTTGTGCGCCTGGGCAAAGCTCAGCTCCGCGATGTTCAGCGGCTGCACCTGGAACGTGAAGGGCTCGGCCCCCAGGTAGCCCACCTCCAGCTGCCCCCTGGCCCCGAGCGTCACAATGCCCCCGGCCAGGCCCTGCATGTTGGAGCGTTGAATGGCCACCGGAGCGGGCGACTGGTTCGGCCACTGGGCTGCCCAAATGATGTTCGCCTCCTCGTAGACGTGCAGCTTTGAAGAGTCCGAAACGACGGCAGTGATGAGGCGGGCGCCTGGCTCTGAAATCGATACATATTTGATGGACTGGTTGCTCTCCGGCTGAGGACCAAGGCTTACCCCAGTAGTAGCCCACGACGAAGCTGTGGAAACACTTTGGCGCATAGTCCAGCTTCAGCATAAAGATGAACTTGCCATTGTCGTCCAGGGCGATGAAGTTCCGCTCGCCGAGGATCATGATGTAGGAGCAGTTGCTGCAGGAAATGGGAAACGCATCACGGGACGGGACTCTCTTCGGTTTGCGAGGAGTACTCACTCCTTCACTTGGACCACGCGCATGTCGACAATGCCCTCGCCCACGCACTGCGTCCAGGTGGGCTGGTAGCTGCTCTTGGTGACCAGCGAGTGGGACAGATCCTGGTAGCTGAAGCACTGCAGGTGCCAGGTGGCACTGAACCGGAAGAAGCTGTCGGTCCGCTCGCAATAGGCCACGGGAGCCGGCAGGGCGCGGTGGCCGGGGAAGCGGCACTCGTACGAGATGCCATCCTGTTCGTAGAAGGTCAGGGTGCCATCCAGGTGCACCACGCAAAAGAACTCGCGTCCCTTCACCTGCCCAAAGTGGCCCTGGCACAGGCCAAAGGCCACCCGCGGGAACTTGTGCTCCGCCTGCAGCTGCAGCCGCAGCTGTGCTCCGTGCTCCGCCAGTCCGCCGATGGCCTGGACATTGTAGATGGCAATGGCGTTGGGCAGGAGCACGCCCAGCTGGTTGGTGTTCTCGTTTCGCACATTCCTGCAACGTGTGGGAATGGGAATGGGCTACAACATGTTCTTCGACCTTCGAGGAGGGAGGGAACTCACCCGCTAAACTTTCCCGCATACAGGCCAAGGATTGGGGACGCCATCTGCGTCTCCAGCAGCAGGTCGGTGGCATCGTAGCCCCGCCTGTGCGGGTAGTAGATGCTCAGCTGCCCCGTCTGGGAGCCCACTATGATGTAGTCCTTCTCCTGGGCCTCCAGGCCAAACCGGGCGCACAGCAGACTGGCCACATCGTATTGCTCTGCGGGATCAGTGCACTGGGCAGACCACCAGCTGCACACATTGAACAGCGACATGATTGCCGTGGACGTACTCTCTCGACTGAGCGCAGGATTCATTGTCGTTGCCAGTGTTGTGGCAGCATTGGACGTTGTCATGGCCACCATTCAAACAGCTGGCTGCCATGGCAGCGGCTCCAGCAGGACATTACACACGCTTCGAAGGTAATTCCCTCAGTTGGTAGGACCAGAAACACCTGTTGTCGGTCAGTACGTAACTTTTATCGACATTCTACATCAGTTTTACATGCCACACGAGTTGGGGTTCTTGCATTGGCTATGTATAGT